GTGTGTGTGTGTGTGTGTGTGTGTGTGTGTGTGTGTGTGTGTGTGTGGGGTGCGTGCACGTGCTTGTGTGCACTCTTAATGGTAACGGGTGTTCCAGTTCAGATATTTCCATTATCTCAGGGAGCGAATAACATGTCTGAAGTCTTTTTCCCCTGAAAAATCATTTATATTAAGCGACCTGTGACCTGATACATTTATTTCCCCTTAACAATCCTTTTAATGAACACAATTATTCAAACTATATACCACTTTAAAAAGAATATTGGATTCAAAATGATGTTCAGATGAAAGCAGAATGAGCAACTAACTGCACGTCTTCATCTCACTCTTACAATATGACAAGCTGATGTTAAAGAAAGGCAGCAGCAATATGATGTAGCCAGATGCATTTCTCAGTGCTGAATGTTTGCTGTTAGATAATTGTTGGTGCTTTGATATCAGTTGGCGTTTAGATTACAGTTTAGATTCTTCAGAAATCCTTAAAAAATGTACACTCTATGTTTTTTTCATATAACCGTATGCTTCTTTGATCTGTTTAACTGTTCCAGAGGAACATAAACGGCGTACTTTGTACAACACGTGTTTGAAAATGTTTTCCTTTGTCTTAAGTATACCAAAATTGTATTTATTATTTGTTTTGCTTCATTGGCTTGGAGAGCTGTGGGTAAGAGGGATGATATGAAACTCTTATCTTACATGAGATCAAAGATTATTTGTTAGTATTTGAGCTTTTCCAGCATGTCACTGTATTTATACCATATATACAAAACGGAAATCCTTAATTTGTTTCAATTAGGATATAACATAACGGTATTGTTCGCATAAATGTAAACTTTTGTATTATTAACATTGCAACACAAATTATTTTGATAAATTGTAGATAGTACCCACTATGGAACCTTGTGGGACACCATTTTGTATATTTAAAATATACAAAAGATAGTTGTTTCAATCAAGATCAATTTCAACACAGTGACATAATGTGCTTTTTTTCACAAATTTCATTAAAGGAATACCTCACCCTCAAAATGGCCATGTATATATCAATTACTCAACCCATGTTTCCTTGAATTCGCAAAGAAAGTATTGTTATTATGGATGCCTCCACGGCAAACAAAGAATCAAATAACAGCACTGCGAATTATTCGTGTGAACACGGCATAACACCAAAACTATATTAAAACATTAGTTTTGCAAAATTTCACACAACTCGAGCGATATAATCAAAGTCGTATTTATTTCCAGTCATATGCTCACTACTTTCCAAACTCGTACATCTTTACTAAAAGCTTACTATTGAAAGCACCTTGGACTCGTCTGAACTTGAATGGACAAGTACCGCACCTGCACAAAACTGGATAAATGAGACTTGGATTATACCGCACCAGTTTGTGAGAGCTTGTAGATGAATGTTTTGATGTAGTGTTTCTGTTGTTAAACGCGGTCTGCATTTACTTAAATTTAATTTATTCTTCGTTTACCGTGCATACAGTGCATCAAACCATTTATTCAAACCAGTTATTATCAGCTCCCTCTAGGTGACTGTATACAATAACTAACCTCAGTCATTTATTTTTTCTTCAAGTAAAATATCTTACATCTTGAATCTATTCATCAGTCTCTACTTTTCCCTAAAT